AGCAGTTGCCGACATTTGAGGGTTATCTATGATAAATTATTGCTGAACCGTGGTTGAGCTTGTAAAGTGCCCAGGCCTCTGCACCTAGGGAGCCCTCCAGGCACAATGTACACACAGGTCCTCAAGCCCCTGATATACACCTATTCTGTGTCTCCGTTTTAGGTGGAGGTGGAGGCAGTGTCCCTGGAATTGAGAGGATGGGCCCCGGCATTGACCGCATCGGGGGGGCCGGCATGGAACGCATGGGCGCAGGCCTGGGCCACGGCATGGATCGTGTGGGCTCCGAGATTGAGCGCATGGGCCTGGTCATGGACCGCATGGGCTCCGTCGAGCGCATGGGCTCTGGCATCGAGCGCATGGGCCCCCTGGGCCTCGACCACATGGCCTCCAGCATCGAGCGCATGGGCCAGACCATGGAGCGCATCGGCTCTGGCGTGGAGCGCATGGGTGCCGGCATGGGCTTTGGCCTCGAGCGAATGGCCGCGCCCATTGACCGTGTGGGCCAGACCATCGAGCGCATGGGCTCTGGTGTGGAGCGCATGGGCCCTGCCATCGAGCGCATGGGCCTGGGCATGGAGCGCATGGTGCCCGCAGGCATGGGGGCAGGCCTGGAGCGCATGGGCCCCGTGATGGATCGCATGGCCACCGGCCTGGAGCGCATGGGCGCCAACAACCTGGAGCGCATGGGCCTGGAGCGTATGGGCGCCAACAGTCTCGAGCGTATGGGCCTGGAGCGCATGGGCGCCAACAGCCTAGAGCGCATGGGTCCTGCCATGGGCCCGGCCCTGGGTGCTGGCATTGAGCGCATGGGCCTGGCCATGGGTGGCGGTGGCGGTGCCAGCTTTGACCGTGCCATCGAGATGGAGCGTGGCAACTTTGGAGGAAGTTTCGCGGGTTCCTTTGGTGGAGCTGGAGGCCATGCCCCTGGGGTGGCCAGGAAGGCCTGCCAGATATTTGTGAGAAATGTAAGTGGCTCTTCAGGAACATCTCGGCCCTATGCACATGGGGAAGAGGGAGGCAGAGGTCAGGCAGTACCGAGGGTGGCAGGTTGCAGTGAGAGGAGATGGCCTCAGAAGGAGAGCTGAGAAGCATGTAAGGCCACCTTGCTTGTCTTTGTCCCCAAGGTTTGGTGTCAGTAGAATGAGGTGGGAACATGGGATCTTACGACACTTGTGCAGCAAAAATAGTGGGTTTTCTGAAATCCTAGGCTTCTCTGACTGCTAGGTAGAGAAGACCATGATCTGGAAAACTTGAGGGTTTTTTTTCTTTTAACTCTCAGCTTGATGAGCTGCTAAATACATGGCATGACAGTTCAGAGTGGGGAGAGGGCTGTATCTGAATTATCTTCACCAGATGGACAACTTTTAGCCACTGTGCAGTGGATCTGTGGGCTGTTCACTACGGGCAGCTGTGCGTCCTGTTCCCTGTATGAAGTTGCCGCAGATAACAGGGAATGAACTTGCTGTGCTAGGTTAGGACCTCACTCAGACAGACTTTCTCTGCTGATCATCGCAGTGTGAAGGTCAGCCAGTATCTGTGTGTAATGAGAGGTTTTAAAGGCATCCCAAGACAGTTTAGGTTTCTGCATTAGGATTTGGTTGCATTACTCACCAGTTCCCCTTTTCTCCCCCCTCAGCTCCCATTTGATTTTACATGGAAGATGCTAAAAGACAAGTTCAACGAATGCGGTAAGTGTTTAAGAGAGACTTCCTAAATGCTTCCTTGTGTTGTGGCTTGTGTCAAGGCTCCCATCCTTGTCTTGTAGACACCTTCCATGACTCTATAGAGGACGGATGGGACTTGCCATTTTTCTGCCTGTGCAAACACTCAAGCCGATTGTTGAGCTTCCTGTTATGTGTCAGACACTTTTTCACCCCTGTCCTCATTTCAGTCTTTGCTGTTTGCCTTTTCCGGTTTTTGAAAAGAGGCAGCATTGTCCCCATTTTACAGAGTCAGGCAAAGTCACATTGCCAAGATCACATGGCTTCTGAGTGACAAAGCTCAATAAAATAAGTACATGTGAGACAAGGGTGCCTTCCACAACTGCACCATGGGTTTGTGTCTCAAAGAGCACTCACCCAGCAGGCACTGGTGAGGATTCACAGGCCCGGGGCAGGTTTTTGTGGGCAGCGTGGTTTCCTGGCAAACTGGGCAGCCACTCTGGAAGGCTTGCTTTGTGGCCAAAAGGAAGTTCGGTTGTCTCTGGGTGAGGCCCTGCCCCTCACCCCCCACCACTTCTGTTCTTTGAACCATGGCAAGTTGGGAGCCCCAGCCTTAAGCCAGAGGCCTGGCTGACTCTGAATCAAGGCTTCCTCAGTGTTTTCTCATTTCCTTTTGCCGCAGTAACTCAGATTTCACCACTGTTGCAGCCTCTCCTAGTTCTTCTCTTGGGTCAGTTATTGAGCCATAGCCTGCCTTCTTGCCCCGTTCTTGCCCTCTCTCCCTACTCCTTAGTTCACAGATTGTAGTGGAAAAGTCAAGTGGATCATGCCACTTCCCCTCCCAGGCCTGGAGGTGTCTGTCCCTCTGTTGGCAAGAGAAGTCCAAAACTACAAGCCCTGTACCACTTAGTGTCTGCCCAGGCTGTTGTAGAACTTGCCTGTGAGAAGCCCTCCAGGGCTTGACCTTCTCTCAGCAGAGTTCATGGCCCTAGTGTTGTGTGGGCCAGCCCCGCTACGCTTGTGTTCTTGGCCTTGCGTTTCTCTAGCTCTTCCCTTGTAGATTGCTTTCCACAGTGCTTGACACATAACCAGGATGCTTAACCAGAGCTTGAAGGAATATGTGTAACCTGCTTGTTAATGATTACAAAGCTGGTATTTGGACAGTACAGAAGTGTCCATGGTATTGGCGATGGCCTTGTAAACACAGAGGAGCAGTGTATTAAAAGTGAAGCCTCTGTAAAATTTGCCTATAAAGTTGGCTTCACACAGTGTGTTTTTTTTAATAACTCTTGAGCATGAAGGTGTACCTTTGGAAGCCACCAGGACTGCTTGTCATGAGTCAGATTGTTGTCCCATGGGCAGAAGAATGGCAGTGTGGTAGAGGGCCATGGTAGCTGGGTTCCAGCCGCTGTGTTCTGAGCATTCTTGCGTCAGGCGCAAGGGCCGCTCTCCCTTTTGACTCTGTCAACCGAAATCCAACAGGTGATCTGGACTGAGTGGAGCCCAGACTGAGCCTGAGCTCTGGGTTTGCCTGATGAGTTGTGGTCTCTTCTTCCCTCCCTGTGCCCAGGCCACGTGCTGTATGCCGACATCAAGATGGAGAATGGGAAGTCCAAGGGGTGCGGTGTGGTTAAGTTTGAGTCGCCAGAGGTGGCTGAGAGAGCCTGCCGGATGATGAATGGGATGAAGCTGAGTGGCCGAGAGATTGATGTTCGAATCGATAGAAATGCTTAAGCAGTTGCCTTTTTTAAACATCGATACCAGACCTCTGAATTTGTATTTTTTCTTGTTAACCATTTTAATTTGTTGGCTGGATGTATAAAGATGTTTAAAAAATTCAGTTGCTTTTTGGGGTAATTTGAATTACTTTTTTAATGACTGGGGTTCCATTTGACTGTTTGCATTGAGATTGCAATGTGCGCAATTTTTTTTGTAGTTGTGGCATCTTGTTGACATCGAATATGACTTTGATAATAAATACCAGTTCCTGAAAGCTGCTTGCTTTTGCGTGTGTGTTGTGGGGTAACCACCCGAGATTGAGGGACCAAAGCTGCTCAGTCTCCTTTCTGCCCTTGGAGCTGTGTGGACCCTTGAGGTGAGAGGCCACTGGCTGCAGCCTCTTGAGAAAAGTCTCTTTATGGAAACCGAGTCCTGAGTGGGTCTGAGTCTCCCAGTGCCTGTGCACACTGATGGTGTGCTTGGCTGTCAGAACCAATCCTGTCTCCCCAGGGCAGTGATTCTACAGGGCACAGATATTGCGAGGGGCCCATTTCGTTTGACTTCTGTCCCAGTCTGCCCCGGCTGCTGAAAGGAGCATTTGTTTCTCTCAGTCCTGGAGGGTGGGCGGTCTTGTCAAGGTGCTGGCAGATCCAGGGCCTGGTGAGGGCCTGGTCCTAGTTCATGGATGACAGTTTCTACCTGTAACTTCACGTGGCAAGAGTTGTCTAGGGAACTTTCTCAGACCTATTTAAAACTATTTTTTAGTTTATTTGGCTGTGCCATGTGGCTTGTGGGACTTCAGTTCCCCAAACGGGATGGGGGCTGAACCCAGGCCTGTGGCCATGGAAGTGCATTGTCCTAACCATTGGACAACCAGGGAAGTCCCCAAACCTCTTTCATAGGGCACGAATCCCATCCATGAGAGCTCTGCCTCTGGACCTGATGCTTTCTCGTGCTGTCACCTAGAGGGGTAGGTTTTCAGTTTAGGACTTTGGTTTTGATAGCCAGGACACAAACTTCAGTCCATAGCAGCTTTTTTTGCTAAAACAGACCAAAGAGGGTGTAGGTTTCTGAGCATATTCTGCCCTGTCAGAGGTTTAGGCTGAACTTGATACCTGTACTCAGTCAGAACTGGGTCACATTCTCTGCACAATGTGACAGCCACTTGGGCTATTGCCCGTGAGGAGCTGCAGCAGCTGCTTGTCGTGCTGGACATGGAGGGCCCCCAAGCATCTCCCTCTCCTCGCTGACCACAGCTGACCTGGTGCCATCAGAGGGGCCCTCAACTCAGCTTCTAGCAAGGGGCCCGCTCCCTTGCCACCTTCTCCTGCCCCCCTTTTTCTCTGCTGGCCTTTGTCCTTGAGGGGTGAGGAGACCTGGACCTCACAGATTTCCCCCAAGTATTTGATCTTGGCTCCACTGTTGGTGCTCATTAGGAGGGAAAGAAAAGACAAGACACAGTAGTCACTTTAAAAGAAGGCTTTATGTGGTCTGTGGACGTGGTCAGACAGGAGCCCAGGCGGTTCTGTGACGGCCCCGCTAGGGTCCAGGGCTCCTTATTAGCGGGTGACTGGACTGGTGGGCTGTCCTTCATCCCCACACCTGCGGGCCTTACTGTCCCTAGGGCAATGGTTGGCTGTCCAAAGGATCTGCCAAGAAAGGTGCCTTTTGGTGACCCTTTCCCCGTGAGTGGGTAGCCAGCGATCCCTGGAGGGGTGGCAGAGGACCTCACCCACCTTTCCCATCCACCCAGGGCATTTACATACCCCAGGCAGCAACGTCGTCGTACACCTCCGTTTCCCTGGTGAAGAACACAGTTGGGTCAGCCAGGGTCACCCTGCCCCATTGTCACACACCCCACCCCCTGCCCCCAATCAGTGCTGGCACTCACAGGGGCAGTAGAGCTGTTCTTGGCACATAGCCATCTGTGAAGAGAGCAGGGGTGGGCGGGTGAGGTCTCCTCCCTCCTTGGGGCTGCCTGCCTTCCCAGGCTGCCCTCCACTGGTGACTCACTCACACTTGCCCTTGGTGTCCCGGCACAGCATCTCCTCCTTGCTGGTGAACTCGATCACCTCCAGGATCTCCCCACGCCGGATCCCCAGGTGCTTGCCACCCCCACGGCGGGTCTTGGCATTGGGGTCGATCATCATCCTTGTCTGAACCACAATCTCCCCCTCAAACTGGGAATGGGGACACAAGAGCTGCCGCTTGCCCTGCCGCCCTGAGAACCCTTTGTGGGGCGGTGGCCACCTGGGGCCGAGCCCAGCCCTCCCAGGATTCTTCATTCACACCTTGAACTTCTTCCGAAACTCCCGCTCCGCTTTCTCTGCCTTCCGGAGCTGCTTCAGGGACTTCGGGTCCATGGGTGGCATCTGTGGTGGCTGGAGGGGCGCCTTCTCCTTCCTGAGCGTGCCCCGTCCCCCCGCCACAAGGAATTAGGTGCTCATGCTTCTCAAGGACCCCCTTTTACTTTTGTCCCCAGCTCAGCTCTGCCCTGCCCACCTCCCTCTGGTACCTGAGCTCTGGGTCTTGCGGTGGCCTCCACAGGTACTGCTGAGCCGACAGCACTTCATCTGGGACAGTCAAAGTGCCAAGTTAGGGCAGGGCCATTGTGTGGGCCTCTGGCTCTGGTGGCCTGATGTTCCCCTGGTCAGTTTTCAGGACTTGGGTCTCCTCCTCACCCTCTGCTGCCCAGGCCTCTCATGGTAGATTGCCTTCCATTTTCCTAACTCCTGCCACAGGCCAGGCACGGCAGAAACCGTTAGCCATTTCTTTCAACTTTCTTTTCTTTAAAAAAATATTTATTTGGCTGCTCTGGGTCTTAGTTGCAGCATGTGGGATCTAATTGCCTGAGCAGGGATCAAACCCATGCCCCCTACATTGGGAATGTGAAGTCTTAGCCACTGAACCAACAGGGAAGTCCCTTCTTGATGGCTGTCATCCCAAGTTGCCTGCTGAGGAGGTAGCAAGGGTCAGAGAGGTAAGGCAGTCTGCCCAAGGCCACCAAGGTATTAAATGGTAGAGGCAGGGCTTCTCTGTCAGCTTTTGAGGTGGTTTCACCCCTCCCTCCTACAGCAAGTAAGTTTTGGGAATTCTAATGAGATATGGGTCAAAAAATAAGGCCAAGAAAAGTTTCCTCAAAGCAAGCAGTCTGCCTCTGGGATGGGCTGGGGTTCTTGCCTGGTCTGGCTGATGAGAGTGGACTGGAAGGAGTCTCCCAGGTGACAGCTGACTCACTACCTGGCAGATGACCAGCTTTTTAGGTGAGGGCACTGCTGGCCAAGGGTCTGCTTACAGTGAGAGCCTCATGAACACCAGGTGAGTGAAGGATCAGAACCTGCAGCCCCCAGCTTTTTTGCAGTCCTCTCTGGATGACTTGAAGTGCCGCCCTGGGCATTCCAGACCACCAGGCCCCCCTCCCCATCAAGTGCTGGGGGGTGGGGAGGGGGCTGCATATCTGCATGGTGCACTCTTCCCTCCCCAGACACTTTTTTGCCTCCAGCCTCAGCCTGGTGCTGAAGTGGCAGTCACACCCAGAGGCCACCTGGGCTGGAGATGGTCACCCAGATGGAAGCAGTCCTGACTTCACCCCAGGGCACCTATACACCTCCCGCAGCCTAAGCACACAGCCTTGGGTGCAGCCAAGCAGGGCAGACCCTGGTGCCCTGTCTCTACCCTGGGCAGTGAGATCCTGAGCAGGCTGCCCTCAGCTCCTGGCCCTTGAGGAGCTCCCTGTCTGTGCAGTGGGCTGCCACTGCTCCGAGTGAGGCAGAGAGTGGGAGGGAGGTGCCAAGAGCCCCTCAGGTCGGGGACAGACTGGAAAGGGGCAGAGAAGCCTTTGGGACAGTCTGCACTGCTGTAACCACCCTACCCCGCTACACGCATTCCCCCCCCCCCCCCCCGCCTGCCCCCAAGAGGGAGAGATCTAGGCAAGCGTGTGGTGCTGGGTCAGAGTCTTGGAGAATGACTGGCACAGGATCAGGGACAGTGAGCTACGCTAAGGATGCATCTGGTCTACTTGGGGTTGGGGAAACAGCAAAGGGTGGGCTCGTGCCTATAGAGTTGCTGGTGATGGAGTGGCCAGAGGTGCTTGCTCCCCACGTCCACGTCCCCAGGAGTGGCGGCCCCCCGCCCCCCCAAGACCTGAGCCACAGAGCCTCACTGGAGCGGAAGCAAGAGGGGCCCTGTCAGGAAGCTTCTGTGCTCACAGGGGTGTTGCAAGCACCCCCTGGGGAAAGCGGGCCCAGGAGAAGCAGCAGGGCCCAGGAAGGAGCCACAGCCATAGAGGCAGCAGGCTTTGGGGGCTGGGCTGGTGAGGAGGGGGCAGCAGCTGGGGACCCTTCAGGCACCTCTGACAAGAGGTTCCCTGGCAGGAGACCCTCTGGAGATAAGGGCAGGAAGCAGCCTGGGGGCAGAGGCTCCCATGTGGTGGCTGTGAGCTGGGGGTCTTGTCTCAAGCTTCCACTTATATAAAATGGTGGGAGGGCACAGTGCACATTCCATAAAGTGCTGGTGGGGAGATGGGGTGAATTTCTCACGTGAGGTCTGTGAAGGCCTGCCTGGCCTTCCGCCTGCTCTCCAGGAGCAGAGGCAGAAGGGGCCTTGGACACCCAGAGCACATGGGCCTGGAGGTTCGGCCACACCCTGGCTCCAGCTCCCTCCCTCTTGAGTTCTGGCCCCTCCAATACTGGAGTTCCCCAATATTGAGTTCCCCTCAAGCACCTCCAATACTGTGGTTCTCCTGATACCTCTTCCTTACTCAGGGTCACCTCCACTTGACACCCAGGTGCAGGCTCAACATTTAAGCCTCATCCCTATCCTGAGCTTGCTTGCTGTCGTCCCTGGTGATACACCATTACGTCCTCTCGCCGATTTTGTTTTGTTTTGTTTTTTGGCCACGCTGCTTGCAGGATCTTATTCCTGGAACAGGGATGAAACCCGTGCCCCCTGTGTTGGGAGTTCAGGGTCTTAAGCACTAGACCAGGGAAGTGCCCCTCTATCGGATTCTTCCCCTGTTCTGCATGTCTGTGGCCACCACCTTGGGATGCAACCCTTGGCTTGGCCGCACCGTGGTCAGGCTGCTGGCCTCTGGCTGTCCTTCCTGTTCCTCCACCAGGAGCCGCCATGACCTCCCTGACCCCTTTCTCTCTTTTTTTTCTCCCCTAGCTCTGCTTTCAATCCCTCAGGCATATGGGTTCTCACGGGGCCTGGTACTAGCAACACAGACAGAAAAGGCCCCTGTGATGACTGTTCCCCTTCCTCCGATGCCTCAGCAGACTGGTCTGGCTGAGTGTCCTGCTCTGTCACCTCTGCTCCTGGGGCCAGGTCCAGAGTGGTCTGTGGGCTCGACATCATCGTACACCTCGTCTGGGTCCCTGCAGGGATACCTGACGTGAGTGAGGGCCTGTTTCAGCCCCGTGACCCATGCCTGTGCCCCCCTGACTCCCCATGCTCACTGTGGGATGCAGTGGAGGCCAGCAGAAGAGGAGGTCCTGGGCAGAGCTGTGGAGAGATGAGATAGGAGGTGGGGACACGGGTAGGCCAGGGAGCGTCGACCTGCCCGCCCCTGCTTTCTACCTGGGCCATCCACACCCACCTGTGTCTGCAGCTCTCCGGAAACTCTGGATATCCCTGGGGCCTGGGGGCAGTGGGGGCTTGGCTGGGGGAGGGCCCAGGCTGCTGGCTGGGGGTAGAGGCCTCCGCCGGGGCAGGTGACCAGGTCTGAGACCTAGCCTGGAGCCAGCACTCCGAGCGAGGGCTCCTGATCTCTGCTGCCGTGCCCCAAACCCTGGGCTGAGAGGGACCCGGGGGCTGGAGCCCGCCACGGCAGAGGGCAGCGAGCTCTCTGAAAAGGAGCCAGGGAGCAGGGGTTTTCTCGGGAGGTTCCTGGGCAGAGAACTGGGCTCTGGCTGCGAGAACTTGCGGGGGGGCCCCCGACACTCGGGCTGCAGAAACTTGGAGGGGAGCACGCTGAACTCAGGCTCCGAGGACGTCCTCGAGAGGCTGGCGGGCTCAGGCTGCGGGGGCTTCTTGGAGAGCGCCTTGAACTCACACTGGCGTGGCTTCTTGGGAACCACACTGACCTCTGGCTCCGAGGACGTCCTGGTGAGGTCACCAAACTCAGGTGGCAGGGGCTTCTTGGGGAGGTCATTCAGCTGAGGCCGGGTGATCTTTCTGGGAAATGTACTGAAGTCGGGCTGCGAGGAGTGGGGGTGGGGCTCACCAGATTCAGGCTTTGAAAGGGGCACTGGAGGGACCTCACTGGACTCAGGCTGTGGCAGGAACTTCTTAGGGAGGCCACCGCCCTGAGGCTGCGGGGGCTTTCTGGGGAGCCCACAGAACTCAGGTTGCGGAGGCTTCTTGGGAAGAGTACTGAAGTTAGGCTCTGAGGAGTGGGGGTGGGGCTCACCAAATTCAGGCTTTAAGAGGGGCACTGGAGGGACCTCACTGGACTCGGGCTGTGGCAGGGGCTTCTTAGGGAGGCCACCGACCTGAGGCTGTGAGGGCTTTCTGGGGAGCCCAGAGAACTCAGGCTGCGGGGGCTTCTGAAGAAGGGTACTGAACTTGGGCTCCACAGGGGGCCTGGGGGTGTTGCTGAGCTCAGGCTGCTGCGGGGGCTTCTGAGGGCGGCCCTCAGGGACCTCAAGCTTCCTGGGGAGTGGTGTGGCCTCGGGCTGCAGGGACTTCTTGGAGAGTTCACTGAACTCAAGTTTGGGGGGCTTTTTGGGCAGGTCAGTGAACTCAGGCTGTGGGGGCTTCTTGGGGTGCTCGCCTAGCTCAGGCTGTGGAAACTTTCTGAGGAGTTTGTGGAACTCAGGCTTCGGGGGCTTTTTGGGGAGGTCGCCAGTCTCCAGCTGAGAGGCCTGGAACTTTGCTTGAAGGCTCCGGAAGTCCTGATGACTCCCCTAGGGGACACAGGCAGGCAAGGGACTCATACACATGGGGGCCATGGAGAGATGGACGTGGGGACAAGCGGACTGATCACAGACACACACCCTTGTCGACCTCTTCCCCGCCTTCTGCCATTGACTCTTATTTTGACCAGACTCCCATGTTTTTGTCTCCAGCCTCCCCGTGAGAGTGCCAGGCTTCCTTCCTGAACTACCATACACCCTCTGACCTTAAGCCTGGAATATGCACCCAACCTTACCCCACTCTGGACCTGAGCTCCTGGGGCCCCCTGTGGCTTTCTGCTCCCATACCCACCCCCACTCCAACTCCATGGAGCATCCTCAAGCTCCTCCTCCCCTCCTGCATGTCCCCAGGCCTTTCTTTTCTTATATCAAAATGTATCTGGAGGGATTTCCCTGGCAGTCAGCTGGCTAAGTCTCCTAGCTCCTGTTTGGGGAAGTAGATCCCACATGCCACAAAGAAGAGTTTACATGCCTCAACTGAAGATTCCGCGTGCTACCACTAAGACCCGGTGCAGCCAAAAGCAATAAATGTATGGTAGTATATCTGGAACTGAACAACTTTGCACCACCCACACCCCTGTCCACCCTGAAGAATCCACCCAGGGGAGGCGGCCTCCCCTGCAACAGCATTATTGTAAGAGGCTCCTCCCTGTTTCTCCTGCCCCCAACGCCCCTCGCCCCCTCCTGGTCGCTGCGCCCACGGCAGCCAGAGGAGGCCTGAGTCTGTTTGTGCTCCTCTGCTCGAATCTGGGGGTGCTCTGTCATTTCCCCACAGTAACAGCTCCAGAGCTCACGAACCCCCTGAACGGTACATCTGACCTCCCCTCCAACACCCCTCTCCTGCTTGGCTCCTGCACCTCTCCTCTTCCAGGTTTCTACTCCTTTATTCCATATGATAAAGGCCTCTTTTCCTGGACCACCCTGATTTAAAAAAAAAAAGGATCCCCCTAGGACTCTTCGATCTCCCCAACCTGCCTGATATTTCTCTTAGTGTCTACCATTTTATATCATCCTGTTTATTTTTACTTATTTTTTTCTTTTACTATTTATTGGCATGCCACGTAGCACATGGTATCCTAGTTCCCCAACTAGGAATTGAACCAGTGCCCCTTGCATTGGAAGCAAGGAGTCTTATTAACCTGCCACCCAGTGCTGTTTTTTAAACAGCATTGACTATTGTCTTGACTATTCAGGGCTTGTGTGTGTGTGTGTGTGTGGACTCCGTCTCCCCCAGCCCCCGTGAAGCGTGCCATGAGGGCCGCAGCACTGCTGTCCTCCCAGTGCCTGGCACTCAGTAAGACGCTCAGTAGCTGTTCGTTGAAATAAAGAATCTACTAGGGACTTCCCTAGTGGCTCAGTGGTTGAGACTTCGTGCTTCTAATGCAGGAGGTGCGGGCGTTGATCCCTGGTTGGGGAACTAAGATCCCGCAGGCCACGCGGCACGGCAAAAGATATATATATATATATATATATACTGGACACCAAGACATGCAGCATATACTCTCCCACATCCAGTCTGACGTGCACCAGCCCTGGCACGTGAAGTCCGTCCCGGATCCCGTCTCGACAGGACCCACACCCTCGGTCACAGACACAGGAGCCACACAAGTAGGCCAGGCCTGCTCTGACCGACAAATGACCCCAGAAGTGGCCCTGCCACAGGCCCCTGGGCCTGGCTTCACCTGGGGTCTAGGATATTGGGGAGGGGAAGGGCAGGACCTCACTCATCTGCCCTGTCTGAGCTTCACTCTCTCCTGACCCAGAGAACAAGGAAGGGCGGCAGTTCCTGCCTGGGGCCTGAGATACCTCTGTGAAAGCACCCCCCACCAGCTGGGCTGGGACAAGGCTCCCAGGTGACCCCGGGGGCCGGAGAAGTCAGGTCAGCAGGTCAGGCCCTGGAGGGCTGCTGGGGTGGGCAGCAGGTACCTGACCTACTTGGTCACCCACAGGAAGCCCCTGCCACTCACTCTGGCTGCCTGTTACCCGGTGGCTGTTCATGCTAACCTGGGGGGAGGGGAGTCACCCCGGCAGGCCCACCCATTCCCCTTCTAGCCACAGCCCTGGCCTTCAGAGCCCGAGCTGTCCCAGAAGTGGATCCCGGCTCCTTCTTACCTCTGGGCATTTGTGGCATCTCATGTCCCCAACAGCTTTCCTGCCCCTCTGCTGCTCTACTTTTGGAATATGCCCCTCTGGTTTCCACCCGTGACATCCCTCACCTCCAGCCAGTGTGGGGCTCTCCCAGGCCCTGGAGACTCACTCACCATGGCTGCAGGAGGGCGACGGGCCACAAGGCGAGTGGGACCCAGGTCAGGACCGCTGCCTTCAGGAAGTGACTGTGGCTTCTGCTCCACGGGGTGGGGTCTGCTGGCCAGGCGGGGAGGGGAGGGGAGGAAGGGGCAGAGGCGGGGACAGCCCCAGCCTGGTCTCAGATCCTGTCAGTGCTTCTTGAATTCCTGTCCTGCCCTGCAAGCTTTGGGCATCGTGTCAGCAGAATCCCTCCCAACAGTCACTCACTTCTAGATTCTGCTGCCCCCTCACCGCCACCCCAGTCCTGCCATGTTCTGGCCTCCGGACTCCAGGGAGGACTTGTGCCAGGCCAGGAGGGCCTCCTGGCAACAGAGGCGGGGCAAGGCCACCTCCAGCCAGGGCTTCCATGGGAGGGGAGGCGTAGTTCTCAGTAGGGAAGGGGCATGGTAAGCTTCACGCTTACTCAGGAGTGAGCTGGGTGGGTGAGGCCCTCCTGCTGGCCCTTGTTGCCTCAACACGCCTTCCTCATTTCAACACTTCCCTGCAGTCCCGATTTCCAGCTCTGAGCAGGACTCAGGACTTCCTGTTGCGGGGGACATCTGTCACACAGGCCAACGGCCCAGGTGGGGTGGCAGGTTCGGTGATGGGCGGGTGGGTGGGCAGTGTCCAGGTTCCCAGAGGACTAGGGAAGGAGGAAAATGGGGGTGGCCGGGAGGCCAGCGAAGAGGGGGTGAAGGTGGGGCACAAGACCAGCGCTGTCCGGAGGGAAACCCTGATGGCTTGGCTTCGTCCCCAGGAGGTCAGTGACCGTGGGGCTCATAGAGAAAGGCAAAAACACCCAGTGGGAGACAGCAGAGCGAGCCCTGATTCTCAGCTTGGCCACACCATCGGGGTCCCTTCAAGAGTTCACAGAGGTGAACAGAAGCTCCTGGAGATCCTTTTAAAACTTTTCGGCTACACTGGGTCTTTGCTGCTGCGAGCAGGCTTTCTCAAGTTGCAGAGAGGAGGGATACTCTCTAGTTGCAACGTGCAGGCTTCTCATTGTGGTGACTTCTCTTGTTACAGAGCACAGGCTCTAGGGAGCCGGGACGGGGTGTCAGTAGTTGCAGGTCCCAGGCTCTAGAGCACAGGCTCAATAGTTGTGGTGCAGGAGCTTAGCTGCTCCTCAACGTGAGGGATCCTCCTGGACCAGGGATTGAACCCATGTCTCCTACACTGGCAGGTGGATTCTTTACCACTGAGCCATCAGGGAAGTCTGCTCCTGGAGATTCTGACTTAATTGGTCCGGGTTGTGGCCTGAGCCTGGGGATTTCTTACACACCCTCAGGGTGATTCTAATGTGAAGCTGGGAAAGAACTGGTGTCTACTAGTCATCCTGGCACCCTGATAAAGTGTGGGCTGTGCCTCAGGTCAGAGTCTGAAGCATCTCAGGTGATGCCCATACTGTGGTCCAAGGATCATACCTAGACTAGCAGGGATGTTTGAAGTTTCCAGAAGGCTATAGACAGCAGTTGGCAGTGACTATGCCTGTGTGTCCGCTCTAAGAGCAGAGCTTGGGGATTCTGGACCCCTGTGTGTCCCTGCACAGACCGACATGTACTCTGGGTCACATTCCCGGGTGTGGGTCCCCCTCCGAGTAGGAGGCTGAGGGTGAGGATGAAGAGGTCTGTGTCCCGGAGCTGCTCAGCCTGGGAACCTGCAGTCTCTGGCCAACCTGTTCCCCATGGGGTAGCTGCACAAGGCGGATGCCTGCCTGGACACGCGGGCCCCTCATTCCTCCTCCCTTCAGACAGACACTCCTGAGCACCCTCTGCTGGGCGGAGCCAGAGCCCTCAGAGGGACTCTGCTTTTGGGCATCTTGGAGCTGAGGTGGTGGGGGCGGGGAGGAACCCTCTTTGAGGTCACAGAGAGAGAGGTTGGCCAGAGAGAGGTCAGGGGTTGCAGAGGCCCATAAGGGACATGGGGAGGAGTAAGACTTCCCAAGCGAGCAGACAAAGATTGGACGTGAGTTGGGAGGGGATGAGGGTAGGGGGCGGGGCTTTCAGGTGGCGCAGTAGTAAAGAATCTGCCTGCCAACGTGGGAGACACAGGAGACGTGGGTTCGATCCCTGGGTTGGGATGATCCCCTGGAGAAGGAAATGGTAACCCATGCCAGTATTCTTGCCTGGAGAATTCCATGGACAGAGGAGAATGGCAGGATACTGGTTACAAAGAATCAGACACCACTGAGCAACTGAACACACATGCACAAGGGTAGGCGGCAGTTTTCAGTGACCCAGCTCCCCAGGCTTCAGAGCGCTTTCAGCTTGCTCCAGAGGTCAGCGAGGGGCCCGGGGAGCATGGGAACTGTGGACCCACTGTACCCATGGGAGGGGCTGTTGCATCTACACGGGTGATGGGGTTGGAAGGCAGGTACCTGGGTCATGATGTTGGCTCTGAGTCTCTCTGGAAAGGTCCTGCCACACTGGGAAGCAGCACTGCCTGGATTCAGCGGTGGCTGAATGAGGGCCTCATGGGGAAAACTCCTAGGGACTGGGGGACTCTGGTCCCCTGGCGATGTGACACCGAGCCCTGAAGATGCAGGAAAGGGTGAGCCTAGGGCCTTGGAGGTGCAGGAAAAAGTGAGAGTGCCTAGGTTTTCTCATCAGTGGTAACTGTCCCACTTCTGGGGTCATGTAGAGATCAGTGTGACTTTGGAAGCGGGCCTGGCTAGAGTCGGGCTCCGTCAGCTTACCAACCTAGCCTCACCTTCTCTAGCTGTACAGTGGGCCCTTGACCCCCCCGCCCCCAGGTTCTTGAGAGGGCCCCAGGCAGCCGGCCACAGGCTTGGTGGCTGGAGGGATGTGAACTGCCGGCCAACGTTTCTCAAGCCCCTTCCCCCTCTCCCCATCCCTCTGTGAATTCTCACAAGAACTCCAAAGGCTGACTGTCATTACACCCATTTTAAGGACTAGAAAAGTGAGATACTGAGAGGTTCAGTCTTGGGGCTTCCTTGGCAGTCCGGTGGTTAGGACTGTGCTCCCAGTGCAGGGGGCATGGGTTTGTTTGATCCCTGGTAAGGGAACTAAGGTCCCATATGTTGTATGTCATACCCAAAAGACTCCCCCAAAACAGAGAGGTTGAATCTTCCCCAGGGTCACCCAGCTGTGGGTCCAAGGCTTCTGGCTGAGAAGTGTGTGTGGGGGGAGCTTGTGGGGGTCTGGGGCCCCCAGGGTTCGCTAATGGTCCCACAGCTCGTGTTGAATGTCAGCTGCCTCAGTGGGGTCTGGGGGCCTGGAGATGGTGGCAGCGTGGTCACATGGCCTGAGTTACCTGGGCCTCAGCTGCAACCCCATCAAGAACATTGGAGGCCTGAAGCCCCTTGTGAGGCCAAGGATGGAGGGGAAGGCAGTCTGGTTCCTGGGTGTCCAGGTGGGATAGGTCCTAAGGGCACCAGATCTCCCTACTGCCCTTCCCAGGAGAAGCAGCAGGGCCTTCGGAACCTGCAAGTGTTCAATTTCAAGAAGACACAGCGGCCACACTAACGGGAGCAGGTGTTTGAGCCGATACCCCAGCTAGGCTTTACCTGGATGGCTTCCATGCTGGGGACCTTGCTTGGCTCTGAGACAGAGATGAAGATTCTGAGGAGGACCAGGGGAGGATGGGAAAAGGGTCAAGGGGAAGACAGGAGGCTGCTGGGTGAGGGGTGGGGCCTGGGGACTTCCCCCCACGGGGTGACCAGTGTCTTGTTGGTGGCGGAGAGAGGACTACCCTGATGACTTGGAAGATGGAGGAGGTAAGGAATGAAACAGGGTGGGGGTGGGGTTGGAGTCGCTGGGTTCTTGCTCACAGGATGTCTAGGTTCCCCAGGAGGAAGAGGAGGGTGATGGTGAGTGTGGCCCTGATAGGAGGAGTGGAAGATGTGCAAGATGGGGCCTTGTGGGGTACTAGGAGGGCAGGGTCTTCATCCAGAGAGCTGAGAGGAGTCATAGGGGTACTAGGCAGGGGAAGGGGCACGATTGGAAGAGACTTGTTTCCAGGGGTCTTCAGACTGGATGGAAGCGGGGGCAGGGGGTGGAGGATTGCTTCTGGTGCCCAGGATGAGGCAAGGGTTGAGGTCTGGGCTAGGGGGCCACAGGGCTGGAAGGGAGAAAGATGCAGGAGGTAAAGCCAGGCCCAGAGGGAGGTTCGACCTTCAGGGTTCTGGCGACAGCAGTTGTGGGACCAGATTTTGAACCCTGGCCCCCACCTGACTCCCAGGAAGAAAAGGAAGGAGAGAATCTATACAGGGGAGAGGAGAAGGGAGGCAGCCAGGCTCTGCAGGACTGGCCGACACGCACCCTCATCCTCAGGGCTGGAGAGAAAAGAGGAGCTGGACAGCCCACAGTGAGAGTCCAGAGGACAGGGAGGAGGAGAACAGCTATGAGGCCTAAGCCCCAGCCTGCCACACAGAGCCCAGCCCTGGAGGGCCTGGCACCACCCTACTTCTGCCAGGACTGCTCTGTCACCTCCCTGAGAGTTGGCACAGGCCTCAGGATCTGGGGGGTTCCAGCTGGGTGCTCCTGGGATGTTTCAAATAAAACTGGCAAGTGCCATCTCATCTGCTTTCTGGAAGTGGTGGGACAAAAGAGAAAGTCACCAACAGCTGTTCCAGGGTTAAGGTGACAGGGGAGGTGGGACACAGGTGGGCCATGAGGGGGGACCTGCCTCCTCCTGAGGTGGTGGTGCCCCAGGACTGCAGTGGAGGAGCAAGGGACCCAGACACACGGCACATCTCATCTACAGCTGGCTCATCTGCCTTTTATTGTCCCCCCACCCCTGCCATCTCAGGCTTTCCCTAAAAGGACACCATTACCCACAACCCGCTCCCTACGCGGCGGCCTTCAGAGCGGCGAGAAAACCGGACACTCCCCCTCAGACAGCAGCGGCGATACCTTGGGTGCCAGCGGGGCCGGGTCTGGGTGGGGCAGAGGAGGGGACGCCTGAGCCTCAGCCCCGCTCCTCGCCTCAGGGCCCCCCGCCCTTCCCACCCGCGCGC